AATAGTAAGGCCCTTGTTACTAGTAGCGATGCACTTGTTCCTAATAGAAACAATATATAAATACATCAAAGCTCCTCGGGCGCGAAGTCACGTCGTCATGTGATGCGTGGTTGGGTGATGCCATGTGATTTGCGGCGAAATGCGTGGTCGTCTAAGGCGTTGGGTGGCTGCAAACAATGACTTGCACGCATTGCAGCAAAGCACAGTTGACCAGAAGCGAAGCCCAAAGCATCCCAGAGCTAACTGTTAGCTAGCTATCAGGTTGGAGGCCATCGCTATTAAGAGGAGCCCAGGCTTGGTGCCGATGCTAAGTGGCAATGGCTTGGAGACAAAAGGCATCAAGTCAATCCACAGCCAGGTCGTCACTCAGCCGTTGCCCGGGACGCTAGATCTTTGCTTTCCTTCCGAGATTCAGAATGTTGCTTTTTACAATTATTTCTGAAATAGGTTTAGTATTTTTATCTATTGTTCGTCAAACAACTTCATTTCTTTCTGTCTTGCGCTTCATTTCGGGGCTTGTCCGACGATCAATGGCTCAAGACGTGCGAATGATTCGCAGGGCGAAACCGCCCAGAGGCCACGGCGGTTTCGGCAGCCGTGGCGTCCGGTCGCGAGGCAGCTGGACGTGTCGGGCGACCTCCCTCAAGGGCGCACAAAAGGTGCAGCGTGTGGTCGTGTGGTGAAGCTGGCGATGGGGCCGCCAGCTATGATCACTCGCGGTACATGACAAACCACTAATAGTAATAACCATGTTCGCTACTAGGGGCTCCCGGCATCGCTGCTAGGAGCAAGGACGCTACTAAGGGCTCCTGGCCTTACTACTAGGAACAAGAAGCTACTAGGGGCCCCTTCTTAGAATTGAATTTATATAATTGGATACCTTGACATCACCAACATGGCCTTTCACATCGTCACAGCCCGATACTTCGCCACGTCAAGAGTCCACCAAACTCAAACATCCCTCGCAGACATCACAGACCGAACACATGGGCCGAACAGGTCCGCAGTGCGTTCCATCCGGATCCAAAAGCTGGAAAGGTGAGACAAGGCATACCAAAAAGGCTTGAAGCATGCTTGGCGATGGCTTGTGGAATGAAGCATGGAGGAGCATGGTTTTGGTTGTGACGGTCATCTCGGGCCTCTTCATGTCTCTGGAATTTTCGGATGTGCGCTCCAGAGTTCTGATAGTTTTCTTTCCATGGATCACGATGTTTCTCTGAATGATCTGCAAAAAGGATGATCCTCGGAGAACACCATTGGGAACAAGCTAAAGAAACTTTGGTCTTGGTCATCTTGGCCTTGACACCAGAAAAATGCAAAGACATACAAACTGTTGGAAGCGTCTTGGAGGCCGTGACAATTTCACTGTTGGGAGCTGCATACATGCTGGGTACTTTTGTGCTTGGTCCTGATGCTTCTACCCATTGGAATTCGCGGCAAATAAAACCAGCGTAAGTTTAACAAATTCATGTTCAGAGTTTGCGCAAGTTTGTCTCTGAAGGTCATTAGAGCATCGCAGTTTGGGCCAAAGGAATCAGAGGCCCTGCGTGTCGCCGCTGACACGATCGATGGGAAATCGATCCATTTCGAGGTCAGCGCTCATCGCTAGACCGAGCAACGACCTCGCGCACCAGTCGTAGCTTCAACGACCGGGGGGCCCCCAGGCGATGGAATGAGATGTGTGGAAGCAGCCTGAGGGTCAATCGACCCACGTGTTCATTTCATTACAGAAATGCGATGGCCTCCAACCTAAGAACGCCGCAGGAGGACACGCGTTCACACAGCTGGGTGCCGGATCGCGATTCTCGGGGCCAAACTTGGAACGACACATCACCTCATGCAAAACAGCCGCTGAAGTTCGCCGGGAGTGGGAGCTCTGGCAATTTTCCAAGGCCACCATTCACGATGTACACACTTTGGTGAGAATGTGAAACAAGTAAACGGACAGCCTATGACGGTTGATCCTGATTTCCACCCTCCTCCATGATACTTCCGCGAGAATTCTCACGGACCTACAAGGAATCAACCTTCATATGCAACCTTCTCTGCTTCCATGTTGGAATTTCTTTTATTCTATCCTCTAGGTTCTCATAGATTCTCCCATTGTCTTCCTGTCCTTTTGAGTCAACCCAACATGAGAAGCGAAACGGGTCTCGAATTGACCAGCCGGGAGGTGGCTCACCATCTTCTTGCAGCGATGCCCTGCTCCCTGGAACTGCCGGTCTTCGTGCATCATTTTCCGCCTAAGTGGCCGTAGCGATGCCCCTAGCTTCTTGCTCGTAGCGTCCTTGCTCCTAGTAGCGATGCCCTTTGCTCCTAGTAGCTTCTTGTTCTTCCTAGTAGTAAGGCCAGGAGCTCCTAGTAGCGTTCTTACTCCTAGTAGCGATGTCCTTTGCTCCTAGTAGGTTCTTGTGACGTTCGTAGGTTGTTGAATGTGGTTGTTGATTACCCACGAATCCCAAGAATACTGGGCACACACTAGATATCCGACATATCGACTATCGTAGTAATGAACAGGTTGCATGAGAAAAAGGCTTCATTGACAGAGACTCATGTTGGGCGGACTGTCGCAAGGCTTTTGGAACCAAAAACAACACGTCTTTCCTTCCGCTTTGAGGCCCCCCGCAGCCACAGAAGCACCAGCCAGCGCCCTCCTCCACTCTCTCCACCCGGGTTTCTGGTTGAGGCCGATCCTCATCCTGCGAAGGTCGGGTGTGCCGAACGTCAAACCAGTGAAGAACTCGGTGAGTCAACCGACATTGAGGCATGAGGAGAAACCGCTTTGTGTCGAGAACATCGGTGAATTCACTGACAAGTGCATGTTGCTACTAGTAGCAACAAGCTACTAGTAGCGATGCCCTTGTTACTAGTAGCGATGCACTTGCTACTAGTGGTAGTTGGGGATGACTTGAATTCACCGTTAGCAGCGGTCGATGCTGTTCAACCCAAACTCTGGTCGACGCTGCTCTCTCCTGGGTCTGCTCAAAGTCCTCAAGCTTCCGCATGGTTTCAGTCAACTCGGCAAAGTCTGCCTGCCCAGCTGGAACAGTCAGCAGGTCACAGGAGATGCAAGTTGCAGTCACTTTCACTCTTACAAGTAATTACTTACAAGTGTCTCTATCTCAACAGCGTCTGAACACTTCTATCACAGAAAGATGGACTGGATCATTCCAAAAAACCTACAAGAAAGAAAGACATATGAAGATGCAAATAAACCATCGCGTCACATCGCAAGAACGGAAAAGAAAAGGTGTAGTCTCTAGGACCCGAACTGCCATCTGGTCAGCAGAGGATGCCTTCTTGTCGTTCTTGTCCTCGCGAATTGTTCAAAATAAAGAGACATTACCAAAGGTTCTAAGACGCAGAAGAAACAGCCGAAACATGAAGAAATCCGCCGACCCCGGCCTATAGCCAAAGCCTAGGCGGGGAGGCGCCTGGGACACCGCAGGGTGAAGCAGTTGGCCAAGCCTAGCAGAACCCTTCCAAGCACTTCCAAAGGCCTGTCCGAGGCCTCGCCAGCTGGCAGGCCT